AGCCCACCAGCACCTCGAGGTATAAATACATTCAAACTGGATTTCATAAGCCAAACGCTCTCCCATTGCAGGGTTTATGACACCTAGCTTAGCCCAGAATTAACTACATTGCTAGAAATCATTTTAAACCCTTAGAAAAAGGAAGCTGGACAAAAAGAAAGCATAACTCACCCTCGTTAAAGCTATCAGGAACGTTGGCCACCAGAAGGCAGAGGAACCAGGCTCCGTTTTTAACGTGCAGCAGAGCTTCAGCCACATCGACTATCGGCAACAGAGATGGCAGCTCTGGAAAAAAAGAGGGTTTTAGAAGTCAAAGTGTTTCACTGCGAAACAAGTAAAACCTTGCTTTTAGCATGCATTGAAGTACCACAGTCAAATCAATAAAAAGAAAATCAATCTGTGATCTATTCTTCTTTCAAAGAGCTAGACAGCCGACATCAACCTTCGATCAGTCACAACAGCACCAAAAGTCAGTTACGTTTGTAAGAGGTTGGAAAAAACTATAAACACAGGATACTGCACCTGCTTGCAAAATGCAGAGAACGTCTGCTGCCTCCTCCAGATAAACAGGACTCTCGAAGAGCTCAGAAGATTTGAGGAAAAACTCACCATTTGATTCTGACACCTACAAGACATTATTCACCGTCACCCAACAGGTTTTACGAGGCAATTTGTCTGATCAGTCTTTTGTAGCTTTAAATTCAGCAGACTGAATACACTAAAAATGGTCAAAAACGTACAGTTATAAACACAGAACAGGCAGGAAAAGTGACTGGAATAAGAAATATTTACTAGTGGAACTACATCAATACAGCTGGTGTCATTGCTTCTTTCCAGAAGAAAGAAATCGCTCAGTGACAATACTAAAAACACAGTAAGTTTACACAAGGAAAATAAATACTGGAAGGGACAGAGGGGGGAAAAAAAATAGGGTGGCTAATATCATACTGCAATAGGAACAAAGAACTGGATGGAGAAAAGTCCTAATTCCATTTTCAAATATGATCCCTGCGCTGGTGTATCACAAAATCACATTATATTTGAGCAAAGCATATTACAGAATATAAAGAGCCCGTATCGCATTAGAAAAGATTAGCCTCGTTTGGCCTGAGGAAGAAAGACTTCCCCGAGGAAGCCGGGGTCATGAGGAGTTTAATCAGAAGCCACTGTTCAATCAGACAGAGACTTAATGTCTTGGTGGAGCAGGTGAGCCCCGGAGAGGAGCCCTCACCCACAGCAGCACCGAAACACAACCAGGCGGCGCGTTGAGCTGTCCTGAGAGCGATGGCTCTGCCACCAAACCCACAAAGAGCCCAGAGAGGGTCAGGTTTACCTTCCAGATTTCCCTCCCAGGTTTACCTTATTCATAATTGCCAGCAATTCGCTGAGCACGAGGCGCAGGCGCCGGGGGGAATCGCTGTGCTCGAACTCCAGGGTCAGCCCGTGCTGCAGCTGAGACACCAAGATGCTCTCCCCACTGCCTCCGCCCAGCTTGTGCCTAACGGGTCATTAAAAGCAGCAATTATTAAATGCTTCTGCAAACACGGAAGTTTTATTGGATTAGAGGCAGACAGTAACCCTGCAGGGATTCATTCCACCACGCTGACCATCAGGAAAGACTCTCGTAACTGTAGGGCGTTAGGAAATGGACTTCAGCAGGTTACTGAATATGAAAAGTATCGAAATGTCAAGGGTAAAGACACCCCCTGATGCCTCTCTTGGCCTCGGGAAGCAGCGCCCTTCACCTCCCTGCCCAGGCACCTCCCTGGGAGCCCGGAGGGGAGGAAGAGGTCCCCGGGACGGACACAGACCCCGCTCCCGGCGCTGTCGCTCCGCCACAAACGGGGGTTTTTCCTCAGGAATCCTGAGGGGACGCCCCCGGGACGGACAAAGACCCCGCTCCCGGCGCTGTCTCTCCGCCAGAAACGGGGTTTTTTCCTCAGGAATCACGAGGGGACGGGCCCGCCCCGCGCTGCCTCCACAGGAAACCAACCCCCGCGGCTTTGGCCGTTCCCCCGCCGTTACCGAAGCTGCTGCTCCTTGCTGGCGTCCTGCTCTAAGGCGTGGAAGTCGACGGAGAGCAGGGCCACGATGGAGTTCACGGCCTCCACGCCCGAGAGGAGCCGCAGGATGAGCTTCTTGTCCTGGGCCCAGCTCTGGCTCTGGTCGGCGGGGGCGCAGAGAGCCATGCGGACCAGGCAGGGCAGCAGCAGCCGCAGCTCGGGGTCGCTCAGGGCCGCCAGCCGCACCACGTCCACCTTCTGCATCGCCTCGAAGGCGTAAGGGCTGACGAACTGCAGGCCCGAGCACTCCGCCATGGCCGCCTCCTTCCCCCCCCCCCCTGATGTCATCACAGCGCGCGGTTCCCCCCCCCGGCGGGAATGAGGCGACTCCACAATGAAGGCTTCATCAATAATTTATTCCATTGGAAATTCTTTTTTTTTAAAAAGTATAAACCTTTCTTTTTTTTTTTTCTTCATTTCCTCAATCACAATTTGTACAACTCAGTGTTTATGGCATTCGGCAGCAATAGTGTTTGTTCCTTAAAATCGCTTTCATCATCAGTTTATTATTATTATTATTATTAATTTTTGTCACGATAAAGAGGGCGGCCGGGCCGGGGGCCTGAGGGGCCCTCGAGGGACCCGGGAGGGTGAGGGGAGGCCCCGGCCTCCAGTTCTCTCCCAAAAAAAACCCTCCCTGAGGAGTGGGGCAGGTCCCAGATCCAGTTCTGCTGAAAGTTAAAAGCTTTTACTCCACTGAAAGTAAAACAAATATTAAAAAAAAAAAAAAAAAACACCCACAATCATTAAAAAAAAGAAACCCAACTAACCCCTTGCAGTGGGGAGCGCAGTCCTGGGCCCTTCCCTGAGGCCCGGGCAGGGGTGTGGGGCAGGGATGGGGACAGGGCTGTGGGGACACGGCCCCTCAGCATCAACTCCCCAAAAAACCCAGCCAGAGCCCCTGGTCAGCACCATCCCTGTCCCACCAGGCCGACACGCTGTGCCACAGAGCTGTGCAGCACCTCACGTGGTACAATAGCATCATTTTTTTCTATTTGTTTTTTTCCTTAAACTATTTTTGAAAGCTTTAAAATAACGTAACATAATATTTTGATATTACAGTATTAACAAACAGCGCTGGGTTAAAGACGTCTGCAAGTCTTCATAGCAACGCACGGAGTTAAAATTACCAGAGGTAAATATAGAAATACAATAATCTGCGCCATAACTGACAGCTAAGTAAGAACATAGCTCAGGATTTAAATATAAATTCATTTCTGTTTAATTATTCCAGGAAATGTTAGAAAGAGCTAAACGTTACAGCTACTTTAGAAGGTGAGGGTTGTTTGGAGGTTCAGCTGGTGGGCTGCTGGGCCAGCAACAGGGGTGTTGGAAATCTAATTCAATGAGTAGCGAGTCAAAAGTGACTCAATGGCTTAAACACAGTAATAGCTAAGTTAAAATACCTATTTTTTAATCTGAATGGAAGGATCTCAGATTCTTCTTTCATTGGACACTTAAAAGGAGGTGAACCTCCAGGGCTACTTAACAGAGCACTGCCAGGAACAGCGTTTTCTTGCAAGACCATTTTGGAAAGCTTTAGCTGAAATGTTCAGGTATTTAAGCTTGTACTTGCTCAAGAACCCAAGTCACTGGATTGTGACAGTTTGATTTATAAACCAGCTCTTCTGTGCATTTAAAATAGTTAAAGTAGCTGAACAAAAGAGTATGCCCAATGTGGTAGCTGGTGCTGGCAGGTTTGATATGTACATGGCTGGCTCTGATCCTCCCTCCAGAAATGGCCCCTCCTCATCTTTCCTAGTGGTTATGAGGTTATCCTTCACTTTAACTGCATTTTTGGGGGAAGAAGTGGGAAACTGGCAGCTTTCAGAGTTGGGAGTTTCACAGGGAAGGCCGTGGAGCAGGAGACAGGACACGGTGACACCAGGGCTCAGGCAACCCATTCACTTACCTTCGTGGCCACAAGCCAGACTGAACACAAAGGAAACGACACCAAAACCCAGCCCTTGGAGCTTGGCTGAGCCAGGGTTAAAAATGACCACTTACAACAAAGCTTAAAAAAAAAAAAAGATAAGACATATGCTTTGAAAATTCCAGTTTTAGGAGCACTGATAAAGCCTTCTGTAAGACAATAATGTGCTGTTTAATCGGCGGTGCGTTATCGTTACCAAGATAAAGTAATGGACAGACCCAGTGTTTAACTCTGTTTATCAAAATACGCTAATTTCTGATTGCATTCATGGTATTTTGACGAAATGACTGCAAAATTTCATCACCAATTAATTGTACAACTTCTTTATACAAAACCAAAAAAAAAAATTGCTAATATTTTATATACATGATTCAAGGAGACTTGCTTATGTGAAAAAAAATGATCTCCGGCAGGTATTCTGCATTTGCAAAACATGATTTTCCATCAACAGAGTAAGTTTTGTAAATGCAAACAAACTCTTCCTTGGAGAGGATTCACAGCAGGCGCACCCACGGATCTTAAAACTTGCTCCTTTGAAGGTTTAAACCCGCGAGAGGGACAGCACTGAGAGCCAGGACACGGGGTATCGCACCAGGAGACACGTTTTTAACCCAGCAGTCGGATGAGGAACCCAAGAAAACAATAAAAAATCCTATGCAGTTGCTCTTCAGCACCCGTAGGGGCTATTTTAGAGCAGCATCAGAACATTTGGCATGTGCTGGGAGGAAGGAAGGAAACTACTGAGAAAAATAAACACTGACTGGATGGAGATAGAGGGAGAGGGTTAGGAAAGCCTTCGAGGTGTCAGTCCCTTCCTCAGGGAGGGCTCAGCCTCCTTGGCACGTGCCCCGGCCACAGCCTGAAACAGGGGACACGGGGAAGGCCACACACTGATACTTGGGACCTTCACCACAAATGTGCCAAAAATACATTAAAAAAGAAAATGTTCAGGGTTTTTCGTGCTTTTTTTTTTGTTGGTTTTTGTTTGTTGGTTTGTTTTTTTTAACTAGTGGAATAAAATCTGAATACCAGAATTCACTGAGAATCTATATACACCACATTTTAGTTAAACACACACCAATCTTAAAGTCAAGATTGACTATTTTTGCATTTGTAAAATGGCTAGAGCTGGGCTAAATTTCAGCCTTCCAGGAGACTTTGGATAAGATCAGAGGTTTGTTTTGTTTTTTTTTCTGTGTTTTATGCCTCAGATTTGTGTTTTATCACAAGTGTTGAAGAAAGTAACGCAGTCACCACAGCGCCAAGAATATCCAGGTAACACCAACTCACAGTAGATATTCTTGTAATATTCAAACTTGGAACTGGCAAGAGATCTGAGAATCTAGCCACAGCCCTGAACCATAACACAAACTTCAATTGAAGAGTTTATTCGTTTTATTCTCACTACAAGTTAAACCACCTACAATATCACTTAATATATTGCCATTGTTACTCTGTAAAGGTGTGATATAAAATGCTGTAAGACCCGGTACCTTTTCAATTTATATAAACACAGTGAACTTCATTACTGTACATGTACTCTGCAACTACAGCTTAGCTGTAAATCCCCCACACACAATGGTATGGACATTAACCCCTCTATCCCCATTAAACTGTACATCAAGACAATACAAATTTACTGTCCCCACCCACCCCCTTACAAAAAAATAATACTCTAAAAGCAACCTACTGCAACTTTTAATTAAGACGATTACATATATTTTAGACCAATTGCTTTAAAGCAAGAAGGCAGTATAAACCTTCTAGGAAAATTTTTATAAAAGAGGTTAAGAAATATAAGACAATTTATACATTTAAAAACTTACAATAAATAAGAGATGCAGGCATTTTTGAATACTAGGTACTATAATCCAATACAAGAACATCTTGATGTTCCGAAGCCATAGGTTGAAACTTATTGTTCCTCATGTTTTCTTCTCATCTCCATGCTTTGAATATTCATTAACCATGACTGGGTACTATGGCTCATTACTCTTCACAAATACTGCGGTTGGGGAAAAATGGTTAATTTTGCTACTAAAAATGTTATAATACACTTTCTGATCATCATTCTAAAGCGTCCCCCATAGTCGATGACTCCAAGACAGGAGGGCAACAGGTGCCCCTCTCACAAGTCAAAACAATATTTGCTGGAAGTAACAAGATTCATACCCCATCACAAACAACTTGCACTGAGAAGAATTATAACTTAGTCCTGCAGTGAAATATCCCTTTTCCTCATTGTTTTTGTTTTTTTTTTTTTGTCTTGCAAAATTCAGATGAAGATCACAGCATATTCATGATAAAGTTATACAACTGATTCAGCACCACAAAATGAATCGGGAGACACGACCGTCTGTCCTGGGTTGCAGGATCACAGGTTAGCCAGGAGAGTGCATTGTACTGTTCCAGAACAAACCTGAAAAGCAAACAAGCTTCCATCAAGCCAACGGATTTTTCTCATCCAGTATTTTACAGCCCTAATAATCTAATACAGTCCAGTTGCTTTGGTATTAAAAACACAAAATAGGTTTTGGCAACATTCTGAAATAACGCGCCTTTTTACGACAAGCGGTTCAAAGCTAAACCTCCTTTCAGTGGAAAACTATCATTTTAATTGTCTTACGCTTAATTCATGTCAAGAGGTTCACATATTTTAAAAAAGCCACAAGAAAAAACATCTGGCATTTTCTTGTCCTACATTGACACGAGTCTCTCCAGACTCTAGTAGTTCAGGATTTCAATATTCCTGCAAGATTGCTGTGCAAGATCCTGGCTTAACTGCAATTACCTCCCACTCATTTATGCACCATCTTCTGTGTTACACCTCAAACTCGCTTCTAGCTTGAGGAATTCACTGTCTTCCAAATATTTTCAGTTGTAATTACATTGACATGAGTCTCTCCAGACTCTAGTACTTCAGGATTTCAATATTCCTGCAAGATTGCTGTGCAAGATCCTGGCTTAACTGCAATTACCTCCCACTCATTTATGCACCATCTTCTGTGTTACACCTCAAACTCGCTTCTAGCTTGAGGAATTCACTGTCTTCCAAATATTTTCAGTTGTAATCAACACTGATTAGTTAAAGAAGTGCTTAGAGACATTTGTTTAATTGCACTGTTCTGCGATAAAGCCATCTTTAAATCCCTGAAAGCACAGCAATTTGTATTGTCTCCGTGCTGCACCAAGGGTATCAGCAGCACAAAGGGAAAACCAACAGCAGGAAAAATAAACAAATCTGGAGCTTCACTGCAGCAGCATTAAAAGTGAAACACACAATATTTTTACAAGTGATCAATGATAAATACCTGAGCACATCAGAAGTTTGATTAGAATCAAGTGGATGGGAGTGTTTACTGTGGAGTAGCTCGTCTGATTGCACTGAAGGCACGTGGAGGTGCAAAGAGGCCTAAGGAAAGAAAGAAGATGCCAGAAATTACCACCTGATTCAACTACAGCACCTTTTCTTCCCTCTCTATTGCTGACCTGGACCTTGCACTCACCTTCTAGTCTCTGACACAAAAGCCAAAACAAATCTTATCCTTAGTTCCTGAACTTGTTGATGGTCTATCAGAATATAAAGGAAATGCAGACAGATCTCTCAAAAGCACAGTACTAGTAGGAATTATTTTTTTTTTAATCCCTTTGCTACATTAAGTGATTACTGAGAAAGCACCTCAAGAGGCCCAAGCTGTCTAGTAATAATCAGACTTGGAAGTTCAGTTGCTTTCCATAAGATGATCTATTTATATCCCATATATAGAACTGCTTAGGGTAAATAATAAATCCTCTAGTCAAAAAAAAATGTCTTCTATTGAAGTTGCAGCTGATCTAAGGCCAAGAGGAACTGCTAATCCAGACACAAATAAGGCTGCAGAAGATATATCTGTATCATTAGAAAATAAAGCCTAGTATTAGAGATGCTAATTTAAGTCAAAAGTGAATAATGTTAGCATACAGAGAAACTTTCTGTATTAATGTAGAGCCTTAAATGTGCCAAGTATGTCTTGATTGTGCCATAAAAAGATAAGGGGATCAGACAATATCCAGACAGATGACACAATGGCTATCACTTGGCAGCAGCCAACATGGAAAACGTAGCTTTTATGCTTTGTGCAATACATACAGAGCTTTATTTATTTATTTTTACCCAGCGTAAATGAGCTATTACATGACACTTGTGTACTTCCCTCTCCACCACTGGTCCCCATGGGAGTTGGGCATTAACCAGAGATCTGTCTAGAACCTCAACCTATTCTTAAAAATACCACAGGACACAGCCAGGAAAAGAACACAGTCCTGACTACCATGAGGAAACAGTCAGAGAGCAGAGCCCTTCAGAACATTCATTACTTCCATTATCATTTTTCTTCCCTTAAAAATAAGTGAACACGAAAAGCCAAAGCTCCAAAACTTAAAACTCAACCTCTCTTCAAACAAAAGCAGATGTATCCCAAGAGACAGGCACCAATTTTGTTTTAAACATAGTAATTCTCATAATTCAGACCCCTCCACAACTTCCTACGACAGATGCCCGGGCAGACGGCTGTACCACCTACAGAAGTGACTGTACCTTAAGAAACAAGGGACACTGATTTTGTGCTTGAGGACACGCTGACCAAAACCAGTCAGGCAATGGACCTGCTTTGGCAGTTGACACAAAATAACCGAGGGCCAGTGGCTGTTGCAGGATATTTGTTACTTCATCGTGAGATTCTGTTGAAAGCAATCGATCTGTACCTTGACCCTGTGAAACAACAGGCAATGGTTTAATATTAGGAGAGCGCAAACTTAATAAAAATTACCCGTAGCTTTCAAAACACAAAGCATTTTGGAACATTCAAGCATTACACGAATCTTCCAAAGACCAACATCCAATTGATTTAAAACATTTCATAGGAATGAAATGCATTCACACCATTCATTCCACAGCAGGAAGTTCACAGACAGAGAAAACACACACAAAACCACACACAACTGTGTTTACTGCAGCACTTACCTTGCCCATATCACCTCCATGGGGGTAGTGGGACCCTGGAGAATGTACAGGGGATCCAGTAGGGGATGCAGGAAGAATATTTATAATATCAGGATCAAGATCATCTCCAGTGTCTAACAAGTCAAAGATTCCCATTCCATCTGCTCCATCTGGAAAAAGAACAAGGCCAGTGAATTTCTAGTTCCCCTACATACAGGATAGGACAATGTGTTTCTGAAACCAGGTGATTTTCCATATAAATCTTGTGGTTCATTAGAATAAACAGTCTTATTGTAACGGGAGTGACAAGGGGGGTTTTGGTTGGGTTTGTTGGTTGGTTTTTTGGTTTTTTCCAAGCAAGAATGAGCCCAATCTACTAACCATTGTTTGTGTTAAAGGCCAGATCCAAGTTTTCAGTGGTATAAGTTGACGATGCTACTTGCACAGATGCAGAGGTGGGGAACACGAGTATGTGGGTGCAGGATGTGTCCTGGGGGGTGTTCAGCTGCGACGTCTGCATGTTCAAAGTGGTGCTGCGTCCAAAGACAGAGCCGGTCGACACAGAATCTGTGCAAGAGAAAGCAGGTATTTCCTTAGTTTTGCTAAACCCGAGCTCTAAAATCCCTTGCCAAAAGAAAAAAGAGAGAGTTTCTCAAATACCTGGCATGAAAAATAAAAATAAAGAGAGAGTTTCTCAAATACCTGGCATGATGATGAAGGAGCCCTGTGGTTCCATTGCCACCAGACAAGCACTGAGGATGCTGGGAGAGTCTGCAGCCGAGATGCCACACATCCTGCACATGTCCTTTAGTCTCTTGCTGAGGGACTGAAGGTTTCGGCGACTCAGCAAACAGCTCCAGTCTGAGGAGACAAAGGACAGGGGTTTGTCTAGAAGAGCAATGCCTCCTGCAGAACACGTGGTTTCTATATAAAAGTGTGAACTGCAAACTTCATGTCTGCTAAGTTTTGAATACGCAAAGGAACTCTAAAATTATTTCAGTTTTCTTCCAGAAACAGGGACAGACACTTCATGTTATTGAAAAACAAAAGCTTCAAATCAAGTTTTAGACCCTAAAAATGCTAATGTTACCTTTTAATTCCCCATGTCCTATTCTTCCCAAACGGCCTATTACGACTCTCCACGGCAAAGAGCTCATCTGCACCAGCCCCAGGCACCACTCCCAGAGCTTCTGAAGACCAAGCCTGCGGGCAGAGCCCTTTTTCCTCCGAGCTCTAGAATGAAGAAAGAAGGGAAAAGAGAACTAGAATTCATCTGCAACAAGTTTTTATTGCCACATTTGGAACTTCCTTGTTATTGAAAAACAAAAGCTTCAAATCAAGTTTTAGACCCTAAAAATGCTAATGTTACCTTTTAATTCCCCATGTCCTATTCTTCCCAAACGGCCTATTACGACTCTCCACGGCAAAGAGCTCATCTGCACCAGCCCCAGGCACCACTCCCAGAGCTTCTGAAGACCAAGCCTGCGGGCAGAGCCCTTTTTCCTCCGAGCTCTAGAATGAAGAAAGAAGGGAAAAGAGAACTAGAATTCATCTGCAACAAGTTTTTATTGCCACATTTGGAACTTCTTTCTTGTATTAGCCCGAACATTCACAGGACCCAAAAAAAGTTAGTATTATAGTGTCCCAATCACAGCTCTTCTTGTATTAACCCGAACATTCACAGGACCCAAAGAAGTTAGTATTATAGTGTCCCAATCACAGCTTTTGTTAGTTTGATTTTCTAATTAATCACATTATAAAACTGACATCAAAAGCCAGCAAACGTGTGCGTGGAGTATGAACACACACAAAACCACTCAAGAATCACACAAAATCAAATAACATACTTCTAGAAATCTCACTGTGGAGTATGGACACACACACACAAAACCACTCAAGAATCACATGAAATCAAATAACATACTTCTAGAAATCTCACTCAATATCCACACGATATGGAAAATATCCATTTGCTTTAGCTAGTTTTGCAATATAGTGAGTCTACGTAAGTCAGAGTTATTCCTACAGCATAAACAAACAAATTCTTTGGGGGAATGAAAGAAGATATACACTCTAAAAATTAATTTAACGGTTTTGTTCTTACCTGTTTGGTACATCAATATTAATTATGCAAGTTTCTAACTGTTCTCCGTAGAGATCCGTACAGGACGCGAGCAGCCACCTCTGATCATGAGACAGACAGTAGCCCACAAAAAGCACGTTGTACTTCTGACCAGCTTCTCCAAAAGTCTCTCCCAGTTCTGTTTGCTTGTCCTTTACAGGAGCCAGTATAAAAGGAGGGGTGTAGAGCCGAATACACTCGGGTCTCTAGAAATATGACAAAGAATCAAGTTTCAGAAAGCAAATATTCCCAAGAACTCGAGTTAGTTAACGTGAAAGACGCCGGTGATTTAATAAGCACAGACATTTCTCTGATCTGCATATTTACAGTCACATTAACAACACTCACGTCAGGGCTCTTAAGAGCAGTTTCCATGGCTAAACCTGGGCCAAAGCCAGTTAATGTTTTCACGTTGGTGGAAGTTGGAAGAGGTCTCCGACACTGAGTAAAAGCTGAAAATGCCAAAGATTTTAAATGCTGAGTGTAAATCTGCCGGTCTTCATGTTTCACAGGTTGCAGAAGGTACTGACACGGGACAATCTAGAACAGATCAGAGGGGGAAAAAAAGAAATTACTATTTCGTCATTAGATTAACGGCCTTTTTTAATAGTGTTTGGGCGTGCTGCTTTTCAAATTTTCCTTTGCAACCAAATTTCTCTTGGAAAAAAAAGAAATTACTGTTTCGTCATTAGATTAACGGCTTTTTTTAATAGTGTTTGGGTGTGCTGCTTTTCAAATTTTCCTTTGCAACCAAATTTCTCTTGGTTCTTGGATATCTCCTACCACTTCTTCCAAACCTATGTGGAATTTCAAGGAATTATTCTCACTGACATTTTCTTCGGAGAAGAAAATAATTTGTTTAGAAGAGAATTGTGATGATTCCTCTGAAACTGTGATGCCCTCTGATAACTAGTTTTGCAGCAGCTGAGAACATTGCAGGGGGACATCTGTCAGGAAGGAGCAGGGTCTAAAGCCCAGCAGGGTCAGATGGTGATGGGACAAGCAGCTTTCCCATATTTCACTCATTATTGGAGTGAAATGCAACACTCCATTCCTCTGAGACAAGACTGACGAGTTTGGAATCCACTACAGGACTTAGCTTTGGTTAATAACCCCCAAACTGCTCTAAGAGCTAGAATCTTAATGATTTAACAGCCCTAGAACTGTAAGTAATGTTTACAAAGCAAACAAAACTTTCACCTTGAGGGCGTTATCGCCTCCAAAACACAGCCAAAGATCACAGAATTGTCTAGGCTGGAGGGGACCTCTCAGATCAGAGTCCAACCACAGACTTGGTTTGGCATTTTTTAATACATATCGGCTCACCTGCACAGAAATTATATTCTTGATGTTAGGAGGAAGAACCTGAACCATCTCTAAAAAGCAGCGCAGAAGTCCAAGTGTCCACAGACTAGAGGAGCTACTGTTCTCATCCTTTTTTTCATAGGTAAAAGGATCAATTATGTAAACGACGATTGCAGGCGGGTAGGTGATAGCGTGTGAATCTCCATCTGTAGGGACTCCAACTTTATCACGATCCATAGTGCTGGAAATGAAATGGGGAAACCCGTTACAAAAAGCTGTTTTGTCACAATTTATTTTTACTTTAAAACTACAATCAAATTGTCAAAGGTAAATCTAAAAGACCTTTGAGTCAAGTGCAGTGTAAGAAACAAGAAACAGTCATTTTATTTCCCAGTATTGCTTGCCTTTTCTTTAGCCTTCTTTATTACAAAAGCTCAACAGCACGTAGTTCTATTGCTTCAACTGAGGAAAAAGAGTATCTACAAGGTCAGTCTCTCAGTTAGAGCTGTCCTTACTACTGTAACTTTGATAACAGAAAGTAGAACTTTAGATGGTGCCAGTTATCTATTTCTCCCCCCCATAAAATATATAAGTGGGTAGTTTTGTGAATTTTTTCTCTTTAGAGAATAAAAAAGAGAAAGTTTATTTTTGTACCGCAGCAGACACTGAGATGAAATTAGAACTGCAGCTAAAACTGGAACCAAAAAGTTCAGCTCCACCACGAATGAACTTTCATTCTCCCTAAAAAGCAGCCTGGTGACTAGAAAAGAAATGTTTTTATTGAGGGGATGAGGGTGGCATAAATAGGTTCACACTAGTTGAGCTGAGGGTGTTGTGTTTTTGGTTTTTTTAGCCGAAGCAGGTTTGACTCTGGTGTTTGTTACCTTTCAGAAACCTCTGGATGGGGCTGTGCAGGTGCTGCAGTAGTGTCTCCAGCCATCCCTGCTGGTTGCAGTGCTGGCTGGGGCTGCTGCCCTCCCGCCTGCCCGTTCTGCACCGCGGCAGCCTGAGCGGGCAGGGAGGCAGAAGTGGTATTGTTCATGCTGCTGAAAGCTGGGAAGGAGGAGGGCTTGCTCGTGGCTATCCCGCTGCCTATAGTGGCAGAAGAGGAGGATGGGGCAGTGGTAGTCAAGGTGGAATTAGCCGTAGTAGCTGCAGAGGACATGGCACTGGTGGATGTCGCCGTCATGGTGCTGCTGGTGGGAGCTGCAGGAGCAGCAGACGGAGTGTTGGGGTTGGCGGCGTTGGCCGGGGCGGGGGGCAGAGCGGAGGCCGGCTGGCTGGAGGGAGGGACCAGGTTTGTTTGGGAAAGTAAAGAATTGTCCAAAGGCTGAGAAGCAAGATAAGGACCTAAAACCAGAAAAAAGAAAAAAAAAAAGCATAAATTTTATATGCTGTTCTTAAGCAAACTTCATCTACCTAAGTCTATAGTTTAAACAAAACAAAGAAAACCCTTAGCACACATTTTACCTATCAAATTAAAATATCTGTATTAATTTTTCAAATCCTAACATTCTCATAAGACTTTCAGAAATATCCAGAAATCTATTTTTAAAATATATATTTTCAGCCATGTGGCACTGCTAGAAATCACTGCTTCAGAACTTAGGTCACCCATACAAAAGGCAACCGAAGACGCTGTTGGGCAGCAACACTGCCCTTCCCTAAAGATACTGCTAGATGATAAAACACCATTTTAGCACATATCCAAATGTGTGGGGGTTTTGGACTTTTTTTCTCCTCAAGCTTAAAACAAAAAAACTGTAACAAACAATAGGACTCAATGAACAAATGCAATTATTTCTCCTCCTCTACTGGCACGGAGGAAGTGGTTAGTGTATGAAATAAACAGCAAAAAAAGATTCATACCCAGCTCATATCTGCAAACTTGGGCATAGAGTTTGAGTTTGGAAAACGCTTCGTTGTTGGCGTTGGCTGTCTGGGAGAACCACTCCGTGACCAGCTTCTCAGAAAGTTTCTTTGAAGCAGTAGGTCCAACTCTCATGATCCCATCAGGCAACAATTTACAGATAGGTCTGTGCTGCCCGAGCCTGCACGACTGCAAAGAAAGCAAAATAGAAGATGCAAGGTAAGGAATGTGGAAGCCTTAAAAAACTGTTAAATATCACACAAAGGAGCATGTATATACATATATATGAAGACAGAGAACTCAGCTTAATTATGATATCCCAAAGTAACATTTAATTCTAGAATACTACACCAGTATGAAACATTTAACAGTGATTTTATGGTTTATTTTTAGGTTTTCCTAAATGCAAGAAAAACAGGTTGATAGATTATCTACTCTAATCTTAATCACAAGCCAAGCAATACATGCATTTAATTAATTAAATGCAGCTAAAACAATTGAAGTGGCAATACAGTGTTTAACCACTGGGTGGCGTTTATCAGGCAGAGACTCCCAAAACGGCTGTTACTGAAAGGAACGGGGAGCAGCATGGACTGCCCTTATCTTTCCAGTGCCCATTCCTAAAACCCTTTTTAGCAGCTTTCTGAGACACCAATCATTTCCATCAGCTGAGACAAGTCTGATAAGTAGTTATGAGTTTATATATTAGAAAAAGTCTTTCAAAAATCGGTTTCTATTCTAAACCTCCATAAAAAACGTACCTCGTATATGGCAGTCAGATCCCTAAAAAAGCTTTTTGCTCCATTCAGCAGAGCCTCGTTCTCCGGACACACCACGACGTAAGCCACGTCTCTCTGAGATCCATAAGGCTCCAACATCAGCCTTTCCCAGTACGGCAACGCGAACGGAGACAGCACCAGGAAATCGTAATCGTATCCCAACAAAAACGTTGGGATTGGCAGTGGTTCCGGGGACTCATCAGTTCCTGGAAAAGCAAGACAGATTTTTCCAATATATTAAGCAGGAAACCTAAAATTAACACCCTGCTTCTAGGAAACACGACCAGAACAAACACCAGCCTTCCCAGCATCTAACAGGAAGTAGCACTGATTATAAATGGAATAGTTCTCATTTTACCAGATACAAATGAAAAACCTCCACGTATGATCCGACCCTCTGCAAAAAAGCATCAGCCAAGCATTTTTATTTGAAATCTCCCAGGGCCTCAAGAAGAATTTCCATAATTGCTTAATATTTCTATCAGTATCTTTACTGCCAAGGAAGCCTTCCCCACAGAGCCTAAACAATCAGTGATCAAACCAATGAGGGGAAAGAAACATAAATAATATGTAAAGGACCAAAAAGCAAATAGGTAAAGGACCACAGAAGGAAAAAAAAACACCATAAAAAAACCCCATGCATTTACATGTACCCTAAAAGTATAATTACCACGTTCTAAATATAGCTACAAAAGATCTGCTGGTGAAAGGTCACTCTCCAACATAGTGATAAATCAATCTCATATGCTAATGAAGGCAGTTTGTGTCTTGAGTGCACAGAATTTACCTTCTATCTGTAAATGTGCATCACGTGTTGGCCACTCCAAATATTTATCATAGACAACACAATGGATAAACCTCAGATCTTCACCACAGTTCTGAAACTACCCAGCAATAAAGCACACTTTTTCAAGCATTTCAAAACTAATGTTTTTGACTGTGCTATTTTTAGAGTAATTAAAAAGAGAGTATAAAGAGATAGTATAAAGAAGAGAGCAATTACTCTGGTTTTAACATTAAATCCATCTTTGCAATTGCAGTCCCTCACTTGGAGAAGCATCAGGTGTATATAAACAGTGTAACTGAAGTGTGTTAATTTTAAATCCACTGTGAGGGTGGTGGAGCACTGGAACAGGTTGCCCAGGGAGGTGGTTGAGGCCCCATCCCTGGAGATATTCAAGGTGAGGCTCGACGAGGCCCTGGGCAACCTGGTCTAGTTGGGGGTGTCCCTGCTGACTGCGGGGAGGTGGGACTAGATGACCTTTGGAGGTCCCTTCCGGCCTGGGCAATTCTATGATTCTAAATATGCATATTCCTTAAAAGAGTAAATAAATTATAGATATTTTCTGTTTTTCTAGAGAGAAGAATTCTCCCCTGTCTAATAGCCCTTGTTAGTCTAAAGAAAGGTCAAATGCTGTTCAGAATTCCTGTAGGCTGAATGAAGAGCCCCCAGCCCCTGGGGTTTGGTGGCCAGGCCGAGCAGAGGACAGAGGAGAGGAGCCCGGGCAGGATTTTACCGTAAGAGCCTCTGCCCGCCATTTTGTGGAACTGCTGCCAGGTGAGGGGGCCCTGCACACCCCAGGACCGCACCGTCCGCTTCTTCTGAATGGCGTCCTGGAGAACCGGCTGGAGCGAGAGCAGCATTCGGAGGATGTCCTGGGAACACTGCATGCTCACGTCCACCACTGGAAGGACAAAAAAAACCCCACAACTGTTAAGGCCTACTGCAACAACAGGCTACGACAAACCCTCCACAAACCACCCCAAAGCCTAAACTACCTTCATTTATAAACAGAATCACTCTCTTCTGGAACGTACGCACCCCCAAATGCCATGATATCCAGAGTTAAGAGATTTAGAGTTCTTCCTCTGTCCTTCTCAACCACGTACAAAAAACTGGATTTTTTTTTTTCTGTAGAGTTTTTTCCCTTGAAAGCCTTACCAACTTATGATTTAAACTAAGGGAAAAAACCCTAAAATTAAAAAAAAAAACCAACACCACACAAACAACTTGTACAGCTCTTGAACCAGAGGATTTTCCCTCCAGGTGGAGAAGGGTTGAAAAAACCCTAAAATTAAAAAAAAACCACCACACAAACAACTTGTACAGCCCTTGAACTAGAGGATTTTCCCTCCAGGTGGAGAAGGGTTGGGCAGACTGCCACCCAGTGCTCACTCCACAGAAGTTGAGGGAAGCCTCCACCAGTCACAGCCCATTTCATCAGCTCGTCACCACTAGGCCATTTTATGTTCACAGCTTAAGAATCAAAAGCTGACACAAAATTTGGTATGGCTATAGTTTCATAGCCTCTCCATTTAGAAGTATCTATACATTGTTTTATCCTAAAATACCAAGGTCACAGTAACACTGAGTCTTCTCCTGGGTGCCTGAAAACATTGATTTATCTATAGCTTGGGCTTATTAAATTTAATCCCCCACTGATAAACAGAAACCTACCTGCATTTTACTGTTAGTCTTCCTCATCCTCATTAAAACCTATAAATCATAGCTAACTGCTATCAAACTTTCACATTTCACTGTCCACCCTGCTAGAGTTGCTACTCAAAAAGACTATTATTGAGAGAAGTATGCAAATACCCACAATAAAGGGTATTCCACGAGACAGAGTATCATTAGTCAGGCCTTAGAAGGAAAAATTGAAGGATCTCTGGCAGATCCAACATACAGGGAAGGCAACAATAATGCTTTATTTGCCACACATGCCATTAAATTGCCCCTCCTCCCCCTTAAAGAAGGGGGGAAGCCAACTGAATCATACATCTTGTTTAATCCTGCCCCAGTAGCCTTGACAATAGAGTCACCATTTGAGCCACCTACACGTCCTACGTCCGCTCATTCCACGGAGCCTCTGTAGATGCAGTCACCAAAAGCTGCTTTAAAAGCATAAGCCCAGTGCAGCCTTGTGGACACTTGGTGTGGTCTTACATTACACTTCAAATTTATGTCAGGAATTCACAACCGACGGTGGCCAAGGCCTACACTCTGCTCAGTGTGCAGCACAAGCACAGAATGGCAAAGGAATGGTTATTCCAAACACTGTTAAAACAGAAGTTTATGCAAGTATGTGGGTGGAAAAAACAGTCTTAAGCACCCAATACTCACAGAGGAAAAACAAAAAACCCGAAACCCTCAAAAAAAATTCACAGGTGGACAAGTAGAAAATGAGCTGTTTTCAATATTTACCGTTTCGTTTTGACCAGTGGTGCAAGCAAGTAGTTTTCACAAGTGCTTCATCAACTTTTCCTCCTGACATATTGTCCATGAACTGCCGTCCGTGTTCCAAGGCTAAGTAGCAGTCATTGCAACAATCCCTTTCTTCCACGCGTACCAGGTTGCTCGCTGCACCGACTTTGGGAATGGAATCTTGATCTGCTGCTCCAAAGGGTGAGAACAAGTTGGTGCATTGATCCTGCAGCAACAGTATTAGCTCATCGGGCAGTTTCTCAGGTTCTTTCAGTCCTCCGCTGCCGTGCTCAATAGAAGTAGCTCTGAGAGCTTCAAAGCGTTTTTCTGCTTCTTTGCCACACTCTGTGTTACGTCCTAAAATATCCAATTCATCTTCAAGAAACAGGCCGGAACTGTTGCCAAATTTTCTATTCATAACAGCACTGAAACCACAGGTACACCTATACTGGGCCTCTTGTGTTGGATCAGGAATGTAAACCCCAACATCAGCACCTTTGATGTTCATATTGCAAACGCATATGCAGCAGCTGTCGAAGTTACAGTCTTTGAAGAGGTTCATGACAGACTCGGAGAGGATGAGATTCACGTACAGACTGTGTGCCTCTGGGATGGAAGGCACGGTTGCGGGTTCAACAGAATTCAGCGGTCGACACGTCGACGGCGTGGAAGCTGGGGAGTATAAATCAGAGTTCTCGTATTTGACCGAACCCTGTGCACTTGCAGGTCCACCAGCTCCACGAGGTGTTCGAGGAGTCCTTGGTGTTCTAGGAGTTGGGAAACGAGGGGTAGAAGGAGAAGGGAGAATTCCAGCTCCGCCGTTACTGGGAGGCGCGCTGCTTGGTGGCATCCCAAAGGGAGTATGAGTTTGCGGCGTGTAGGCAGGGCCGTACTCTTGATCCATAGTGCTTCCATCACTAACAGCAGCCACAAGAAGAAGGAAACACTTTAAGTACATGACATACTGGGTTTGAAGTTTAAGTCTCAAATTTCTAAAGAAGGACCTTCCTAATTAACATTTGCATTTTTAAACTAGTCTTTCATAATCACAATAATCACAGCAAGATTTTCATTCCCTAAGGAGCTTCAAGAACATTTGTTCTAAATGACTTTGGAGGACTCCCACTGACAGCACTGCTAAAGAATCTTTCTCCGCCTCCTTTCGTCTTTTCCTTTGCACAAAGCTTCCAGGAAACAAGTGCGGTCAGAATAAATTATAAATTCTGTGGTTATGTGGAGTCTAAAGGACACGTTTTCTGTTCATGTTTTATTTACACATTGTGTTGACACACATTAAGAAAATATTCCTGGTCTACCAACAGCAGGTTCAGCTGGATCCATGAGGAAAGTATCACCTGGAAATGTTTAACGTTTTCTTTCCTAAGCAGCTGAGTATCTCCAAAGACCCATAAGGCTAATGAGACCTGGAAATATAGGGCTTATGAAACATCCTAACAGAAGCGATGTCAGTACTTACTCCAAGATTTAACAATAAATCTTTATCATTTAACATTTATCATTTAACGTTTATTATTTAACAATAAATATTTATCAATAAATACGTAGCTTCCTTGTTGCTTCATGTAATTTTATCAATAAATACGTAGCTTCCTTGTTGCCTAATCCATTTACACCAGCTACTAATGCAGAAGAGAAAATAAATAAATATTTTCTTCAGGAAGAACTGCCAGCAAGATGATCACTACCAAATGCAGATGACCGAAATGCCTACTGCAATCCTGCTGTTCCCAGGCAATGTCACACCGGGCATAGCTCCCAATCAAAGGGAATGTTTCCCTAGTCCCAGTGCAGCTGAGATTACTGCTATTTAAGAAAATAATTTAAGAAACAGAAGCCCCACCTACTAAGCCCTTACAGTACCTACAACACCACTGCAAAAAACAAAGTCCCAAGTTTACATTTATCTTGATTGTTACCATCTTCATGACTTATTAAAAACTGGACTTGCACCATTAAGCTTCCCCAAGAAACCTTTAAATGAGACAACGAATAAAACGTACGCAGAGTTAAGCAGCTATTTGAGAAGACAGCCTCTTACAGTAAGGTTTCATCAGAAGGATTCTTTTAAAAGGCTCTTGTCAGTTGCATAAACACAGTGTGTCTTTACAACTATTTCTAACTACAGATTTATGAAAACCAAATATTTAGGGGTACTAAACTGAGCACCTTCCAAAGCTTAACTGTTTGTGGCAGAGGTCATACCCATCTTTGATGACCAAAACCAAATATTTAGGGGTACTTCCTCTAGCATGGATAACTGAGCACCTTCCAAAGCTTAACTGTTTGTGGCAGAGGTCATACCCATCTTTGATGAATGGCATGGCAGGTCCTGGAGGAAGTAAATCCAGCTTCCCCACAGTCCAGCTCTGGCGATAAATGCACTCTTCTGGGAGCTTGATGGGAGGGAGACACTGGCTGGGAAGCGTCTTCAGTGGTGCAAACATGGAACAGCCCACTAAAGCTTGACAATTCTCAGGTTTATAAACATAAGAATAATCCTAGAAGTCAGACACAGTAAAGCATCAGCACGTAAATTAGATCACTTCAATTAAAATGCTTCTCAAAAAAAAATGTGACTAAGTTCAAGCAGCAGTTCTTTAATATTAAATCCTGGTACAGTTGCAAAAGAGAAAGTTAGATTTATACACACATTGCACCCGTGGCTCTCTAAAAAGCAATATGCCAACACAAAACAAACAATGAACTACAATTACTGAAATGCAGTCCTTCAGCTTACTAATGGCTAATTATATATTACTCTTTCTTGAAGTGGTAAAATACTACATACTACTAACTAAAATGTACATTACCTACCCCAGTATGTAAATTAGATCACTTCAGCAATTAAAATGCTTCTCAAAAAAAAATGTGACGTAAATTAGATCACTTCAATTAAAATGCTTCTCAAAAAAAAATGTGACTAAGTTCAAGCAGCAGTTCTTTAATATTAAATCCTGGTACAGTTGCAAAAGAGAAAGTTAGATTTATACACACATTGCACCCGTGGCTCTCTAAAAAGCAATATGCCAACACAAAACAAACAATGAACTACAATTACTGAAATGCAGTCCTTCAGCTTACTAATGGCTAATTATATATTACTCTTTCTTGAAGTGGTAAAATACTACATACTACTTACTAAAATGTACATTACCTACCCCAGTATAATGCAGGGCACAAGTTACAAATTGTACTTAATTTCCCTCAGTTCCTATTCAAGATTAAGTAATAAATGGAACAATAATAATTAGAAACATTTATTGGGACTGTCAGCACTACCTACCTTTATTTCAGCAGGTTTGGGGCTGCAGAAACCCTCATCTACTTCAATTCTGAACTGAGCTCCCACACTAGAGCTATTCCCTTCAAGTACTGTTCCTCCAAGTGTAGTGTCCATACTGCCATATTCCTTATTATTCATGTTCATTGGAGAAAATCCCATAATATGTTGTTCCAATGAAGGTGGAGTTGGATACATTTTATGGAGATCTGCAGTGCCTGGTTTCAGATGAGAAGTAGGCTTTAGAGCATGAAAACATTTTGAAGTATTTTCTTTGTCTTAAAAATTCAGTAGAGCAAACGAAGCGTATGTTTCCAAATTCCCACAGCATATTAGCAATCAAGTGTTTAGAGCCAGTATTCTACTTTGAAAAAACAAATAAAGCTTACTTATGCATGACAGTGGGTCTAGGTTTCCTGCTTTTGCCTCTTTGCAGTTGGATTTGTCGTCAGCGCCATTCACTGTTCTTTTAGATCCAGGCTAAGAAAGAAAAGAAGTATTGTAACAAAACCACTTCAGCCATGAACACATGCTCCTGTTTCCTGCTAACAGGAAAATTTCATGTGCAGAGGACATACAAAGCTGAGACTTTGTATAATATTTAGAGGAATTAAAATAAATCAGAAGCCCAATGCTAATATTTGGGGTTACACTCGTCCTCCCTCAATACCTGTAGCTCAGAGAATGCTCTCCCGTCAAGTCATGATGCTATTAAAATCAAAGAACAGTTATAAAATATGTCTGCTAACAGGCTGAGAGTTATTAAAAAAAAAAAAGCTAAGTAGGGCTGCCCACAATCTATCAGAAAAAAAAAGAACAAACCCTTACACACTCCCAAAGCCATGCTAATATTACTGGTGTTACCACAGGAACAGGTATAGAAAATACAGAGAAACACAAATCCTGGAACAAGAGGTACAGGGAAGAAAAGCTGTTGAAATTAAAAGAACAAGAGACATTTTACAATGTTTAGACAGTACTAAAGTCTACAGAAAATAAGAGTCTTCATGTTTAAGAGCAAATACACTTGCTTTATATAATGATGACCTTTGATGGCTATTAAGATCCTTCAAGCCCTTACTCAGCTGCAGCTCCCATTAAAGTTGATGGGCATTTTGTCTGGGTAAGGGGATTTGGGATTAAGCATGGAGCAAAGCACAGTTCAGAAAAGACAACTGATTACAAACAGCATTGAAATAGAAACTAGAAAGATAATGGATTCAGAGCTATCGGAGACTGCAAGAGAAACTGTTCCAGGATAATAGCTGCTGCAATGAAGCAGCTTATTTGGCAGAACGTCCACGTGCTTTAATGCCTCTTCTCTTACAGAAGTTTTTGGTTTGTTTCAGTATTACCTCTACTGACCAGTTAAACAGAACCTAGAGCATAGGAACAGAGCACCAGTACCACCGTTGAATCTGTAAAATTATAACTCAAGGCATAGTCAAGAAGCATATTCTGTCTGGATAGTAAGGATGGAGGATCAAAAGCTTGTTTGTATCAAAAATATGATTATATGAGTCAACCAGAACAGTACATCTGCTACACAGGAGCCACAGCACTTGCTTATAGGCACATTTTGAACCTCTCCTACAAATGCCAAAAAAACCCCAACCCAAAACCACAAGCCGACGTTCTTGCCCCGTGCAGGTTTTTGTCTGGCAGCTGCCAGTACTTTTGCACATCACTTACTGTGAGCTCATCTTCATCAGAATTGAAGAGATTGTCAAGGTCAGTGTAAGAGACCACTAGGTCTGTTTCGTGGAACAGGCTAGTCGATGCAGTGCGAGCGTGGGCAGCAATACGTTGGGCATCTATAAAGAAAAATGAGCATTATAAACACTGGCAATATATATTCATTTAAAAAAAAAGGCATCTTAAGAACGTTTTATGCAGCTGGGAAAAAAGAAAAAAGATGGGGGAAAAAACAGGTACATTCTCAGTTCCACTCAACTATCTTACACGTAAGTGAGGCCCCTTCAATTTTATAACCTTTAGATTTTATAGTTAACGTTAAGAACTTTTTACACAGCCGGGAAAAAAGAAAAAAGATGGGGGAAAAAACAGGTACATTCTCAGTTCCACTCAACTATCTTACACGTAAGTGAGGCCCCTTCAATTTTATAACCTTTAGATTTTATAGTTAACATTTATTTGCAAGGTGCAACAAACCAAATGTGTTTCAAGCAGATTCCTAATTCTGAAGGGACACAGAAATACAAACCATAAAGTATAAACTTTGTAGCCTATTAGAATTTATCGACTATTCAAGAGATCATTAACATAGCACAATTAAAAGAGGAGGAAAAAAACTTAAGTCTCTTTACCTTGCTTGACAGAAGGACTAAACAGAGACATAGCATCCTCTCCTTCATGGGATAACACTGTAACACTAGATGTCCCATCCTCAGCCTATTAAAAACAAGAAGAGGTAGAAAAGTTTGCTTCGATTAACTGGGGAGGTGGGGGCATTTTATCTCCCTAAAGGAATTCTTGTACACATCAGAAGTACCAGGTTCTTGTGAGCCTTAAGCTCAGCAAGTGCAGTCTGGGGTCTGCTCAGTGGTACTTGCTCGGGGAGAAGGAAGCTTGGAAAACAGACCACACACTGGCAACACACGGGTAAGAACGTGAATCTTAAGTTTTTGTGTTGGGGATAAATTTGAAAAGCTGTGGATTCTTGCTATAACACCTTATTGAAAAAATGCTTTACATTAACTAATTATTGAATGAAACTCTCAATACCAGAAGTGCAACAGACACAACTAGTCCCAATAAGCAAATTTCATATACAAGTCCCCAGTACAGTTCTATTTTCTCCCTTTTTGGAGGGTGTACTTCTGTTTTAAGTAGCAACCTCATATAGTTGGTACTGGCTGAAGTGCAAAAAAAAAAAAAATTAAATTCCCTGCGCAGGCAACTAGTCAGAGTTCACCTTACCTGCCCCCAAACCTCTCCACACCTGAACAAAGCACTTGCCTTGTTCTTCCCCCTTTCCCCAAGCACCAATCGCCCATTTCTACAGAAAGGCTCCTGAGCCAGACTAGGTTTTGTTCTGATCCAGCAGGGTTCTCCCAGTATAAGCCATAAACCCTGATGGAATAGCACCACCAGGGTGCTAAAAAAGCGTTAGGTGTAGTTAGAATCATGCTGCATAATTTCATTGATCATTTCTGCTAGAATACTTTTTTTAATATTCTTCTAAATACACAGAGAAGGATTTAAATCCTATTTGGTGACTACAGCAATTTGTTTTAATCTCATCACTGATTTGTATCCTCACTACTTTACTCACCTTGTGTTTCTTCCCGACTTCCCTCTCAATGTTCTGCCTGTCTTTTTTACTGTCAGGAAATAAGAATTCCACATCACCATCAACGAAGGCGTAAGGATCGATTTCGGGTTCCTGGTCAGCTTCCGTTGCTACCGCCGCTAGGTATTGGTTTTTACTCTGATACTGTTGCACCAGTTCATCTGAAACCTTCAAAGGTTTCCTACATTGCACCATTAATCTGAACAGAAGAAAAATAAAAAACACAAGGTATTATTTATCATTTATTAGGTGGAAATATTTTTGCTATCACAAAGCCTTCACAAGAACAACTTCATCTTCCCTTCCCACCTCAGCTTCAGAAAACTTTTTGGGAAAAAAGATTAAATCATTAGTCATTTAATATGACCTCCTTACACACGTCAGATCCAGCAGTGTGATTCATTCTGCCCATGTCTCCTCAAGCACTGTCGATTCAGATAAAGATTAGTAACGTATCGCAGGTCAGAGCTGTCATTTATTATAACGTACAAATGTATTAAACTATCTATATCCACTAAAGAAACTCACCAGGCTAAAAAATTACTCATTCCCGCTCCCCATCCGTGTCCAGAAACATCAGAAAGAAGTTATTAAACCTGAATTTTCCATATTTTAAGAATCTAATTCCTGAATGTTTAATTCATTTACATGTAGAAAGTTTGCCAACGCTCCTGACACCACGCACAGACCAACACTGCTGCACACACAGCCCGGCTTTCCAAAAACCCCAGCAACAACCACTACTAAAGCACACAAACACCACTATGTTTACTTCTCATTTCTATCACATACCAATACAAACAAGGCTCGCGACACACTAATATCTAATTTACTGATGAGAATAATAAAAACACATTTTCTTTTGTCAGCGTTTTTCTTAACATCCTCAGCCAAAAATGGAGTCGTTAAATATGCAGAAATTAAGTTTGTGTGTCAGAATTATTAGTTTCACAGATGTAACATTGCACCAGCACAAAGAGACACTGGCAAGTAGAGAACTGTTATGATTATTGGCCGTACATGTGCCCCTCTGCCTTCTGCCCCTGAACAAACTGCCTTTGATGTATCCCGGTCTACAAAAGGCACCGCGTGGGGAAGGTATTCCTTCAAACAGGACAAGTATTTCAGGAGTGTCAGACTAATGTAGATATACAATTTCTTCTTGCTCCAAGACCCTCTTCCTCTCCAACAGAAAGGGAATGACCAGGGAGAAGCATTTACACAAGTGTCACCCATGAAATGTAAGTGGGACATTGCAAGGATGAAGATTAGAGGATACTTCAAGTCCAAACACAGGTTCCAACTTATCTGTTCTCTCCCTTCTCAAGCCTTTATCCAACAGGAAACACAGTCCCAGGAAAAACTACTGTGTCTCACAATTAGTAGGGCTTTTGACAGCCTAGATGCAGACACTGATGTGGAGTTTAGAATAAGACAGGCTTATATTTCTCCTCTGAGAGACCAAAAGGAAAGAAAAACGCGATACAGAATGATTCCAAGAGTTCAACCTTGAAATTCTGCACACAACAAAGCACCATGATTCCTCCTCGCTGCCTTTTACATCCGTCAACTACGTGGGATAAGAAAGGAGACAGGAAGAGTCTTAATTTGTCAAAAGACCTCCCAGAAATAGGCTTTCCAAAGAAACAGCTAACCCCACTGTCAAACCCCTCCACGCTGGTCCATCCCCATTCAATACAACCTTGGTTTAGGCACGAGCACCAGACCAGGGCTGTCCCCACAGGCTTTGTGCCAACCACCACTGGCTTTTATGTCTGGAGTAGCACTTAGTGGAGTTGAGAATTTCCTCTTTTCTAAATCCTGCAAAAATTACCATCAGGAAAACAACAACAACAAAAAAAAGATAGGAATGACTTTCTAGGAATTAAATACCAGGAAAAATATGTAGCAAAAGCAAACACTTTCCAGTATTTTTGACCACCACAGAGGAAGAGTAGTTAATAGCCAGATACTCAAGGTGAAAAAGAAAAAAATAAAAACAAATCTTCAATAAGTTCTTAAATCAAACTAGATGTCATACAAGGAAAAGCCATGCCTTGAACAGAAAAGAGAAAATTTTGATGTAGAGCATATCTTCCTATCTGGTTGGCTGAAATGAATTCCAGGCAAAAAAAAAAGCAAGAAAAATCCTATAAATGCACATCTTGAAATAGTTGAGACATGCACTAGCTGATGTAAGTGCTTAAACAGTGAACACAAAAAGATATGGTTAAGAAAACATGTATGAGAACAGAGCAGCAGCTACAGCATATTTACTTCTTCTCACAGCTTTCCTACGCAGCAAAGTCACCGCGACTGCCATCCGTGGCTTTCCACTGCCAGCAACCAAACACAAAATCAACATCCAATTTCAGCCTCACAAGTAGCTGCTACAACTCTTCTCCCACAAATTAAACACACTAATTCCTTAAAACAGCAGCAGAGCAGAAAATTTTAAAACCTGGTGCTACATGACATTAGCCTTCAGAAATAAATTCTATTTATTCAACAACAAAAAAAATAAATATAGACAACACATACTTTATTTCAAGACAATATTAGCTTATGGTAGAAGAAAATAAATACGTGTTCTCAAATACATCTTCTGTAGCTCAAAGGCTGAGGTTCTAACAAGGACCTTCAAATAATGAACCAACCAGGTATTAAAATAAGAAAGTTTTGGGGTGGTTTTCTGGGAGGGGCACACACTGGACACAGAGGACAGGACACTTTAGGTCCCAAATAGGCATAATCTGGCTACAGATTAACTTTACAGGGGAAAAACAAACTTCATTTCCATCTGCTAAACAGAGTTCTAACGAGAAAAAGCTGGAAAGCCTCACTACGTATTTGACTGTGCTTCGTACTCACATTTCACAAGTATTTTCTTCTTGGACAGCACAGACAGTTACACACTCAGCATTACTGCTCGAGATTGTAACACCACTATGCTTTAGTGACAATGTTGCTTCTAACAAGAAACTACTTTCTTTGGCCTTTCAGTTTCCTCACTTTCTCATGTAATTTCTACATAAATAAGTACTACTTACTCCGTAACTGATGTTATGTTTTCCTGTCCAGCAGGTATTACTGGATCATCTCTCAACTTATCATTTGGAAGCTGGGGTGGTAAGAATTCCACATCCTTTTTCTTTGGAACTTTATAATACTTCCAAGTAGTATCAGCTTCATCTTCCTCCAAGTTCACTGCGGTACCAACGTACATCGTAGGCTCTATGACTTCAGGAAATGGAGCTGGAAAGGGCTGAGACAAGCCATCGAGTCTGTCTTCCATTGTTTTTGTGGGAACCAAGGGGTCTGGTGTTGGCATCTGGTAGAAATGTTGACTCTGGGGAGTGGAAGGAGCCTTAGCTACCCCTTCATCAACGGCATCACAGGGGTGAGGACTCAGTGGTGGCGGCTGAGGTGAATTTGCCATTTCAGCATTATGCATCTGCGGAGTCTTTGCTACATCATTAGTTCGGATATTTGAAAATCTCACTTGACTGTCTGGTGCAGTCATCACAAGCCTCTGACTCGCTGAATCTGCCTCCATGGCAACATCATCGCTGATGGATACGCGATGATGAAAAGGAGTCAAAGGGCGTTTCTGTGGCTTATCCCCTTTGTCTTGCTTCTCATTTGTCTTGTGCTTTGGAGCTGCTTGCTGTTGTTGGCCCACAGGTGGTGCCTGCCCCTGTTGACCTGAATTTCTTGGTTTGAGATTTTTGTGCCTGCAGAATTAATACGAGGGAAAATACTTCACATTAATCTTTCAAATATGTCTATCATGTTCTTTTTCACTAGATAAGAACCCACTTCTAAGCCATTAAACAGCCAATTATAGAAGCCAGAAACTGATACCATTCTGAAGTGAAGCTGCCTCTTTCTGACCGTAACTTAATTTGAATGACTTGAGTAGCACTGCAAGATTTTAGAATACCATTAAAAAAGCAGGAAAAGCTGTCCTATGAGCCAAACACATCATCCTCAGAACTGAAGACAGTATTTTATAACTGCTTTTAACAGAAATAGATAGTCACATGAACACGTTGTCGCTTTTAACTTCTGCCAACACTGATGACTCAGTAGAACAACATATGAATTAGTGAATGACTTCTTGAATTCAAGCATCTGCACCAACCAGTGGTGCTGTCCAGGTCTCTCTGGGTTAAGGAGTGGAAAATTAACATCAAGAATCTAGAAGCCAAGCTCAGTCCTACAAAAGCTATTATTTTGACACTTTTGTAGCTTTTTACCTACAAATTCAGCATGTGTAGAAAAAAGAAGAACCTCAGTGTCCTGAGTGCATTAATACAGTTAGTTTTTCCCAGTAGAAATGCACTTGATCTTAAACATTTTATCTTCAAGTTCAAGATAACAACCTTCCAGATCATCTGACAGAATGAGAGATATGCAATATCAAAGTCTAGAATGTTTATGTTTAAGCTACTGAACTGCATGTATATCCTTAGTGCCTGGATATTCTTTGCCACTCTTCCATAAAGAAAGCTAAGAAGCATGTAACTTACATTAAAAAAAACCAAACAGGATTAGGCAGGAATAAAATGCAAGAGATATCAAAATCTATTTTTACTTTAAACTCTCATACATGTACACAGGTTTTTCACTGCTTAGAATTCAAAAAAAATAGGGAAAAATAAGGGTGTTTAAGTGTTTGCAATGTCTCTTTAGAGAAATATACAGGTTTTTCACTGCTTAGAATTAAAAAAAAAAAAATAGGGAAAAATAAGGGGGTTTAAGTGTTTGCAATGTCTCTTTAGAGAACTGCATATTTCTAATACACACCTCACACAGTTAACTGACTGTTTTCTTTTAACTAGTGTTATCATATCTAAATTCTCCTTTAACAGAATATTTAATCCTCCTCCATTTCCCAGACATTCTTAGGACCCAAATATTGCCACAGAACTTACACCAACCATTTCAATAAAGGAAAAAAAAAAAATGCCTTTCTTTCAAAATGCTACAGATTTCAACAAAGGAGAGAAAAAAAAATGCCTTTCTTTCAAAATGCTACATCCTCCAGACATTAATTTTTTTTTAAGATTCCAAGATTCATTACAAGATAATCTGTGAAACATTTACATCAGCGTTTAAACCTTTGCAACACTTCAGTCCCTTCAAGATCAGTATTCTGCCATAAGTACAAAAATTGAGAAATCACTGAAATTAATGCTTCCATTATTTTAAACACCTGGATTAACAGGCTGTGTCATTGCACAGTTTCAAAACAAAAGTCGTAACAAAAATGGGAAGTTAGATTCAGTCCTTCCCCCTTTTGATCCTTTTTTTTCTCCCCAGCTAATACAAGAAAAGCAGTTTCACATACAACCACCCATGGAACACCTTATTGCCCCAGAAGTAAAGCAGGTTTGGGTTTTGGTTTTTTATATTCATCAAGACACTGCTGCAATCATCTTGCTGTAATTTAACAGCTTTCGCGCTTAAAGGCTAATGCCACAGCCCTCTAGAAAATATTCTTAATTCCTAAATAAATAGGCATTCCCTTTCCATTTTGCAGCCCGAGAAGGTTTCCCCATGAGATAGCTTCTACCCATATACAGGCCTGAGGAAACGCAGCTCAAGACTCAGAAATTGTCACTGAGCTGCAGTAGGTCCACTCAGATGATTCACTTGAATAAAAACTCTGCATTACCTTATTGGGCAGAGTTTCAAGACCTACAATGACATTTAGGATATGAGATACAAATTTTGTTACAGCCTTCCTACAAGCAGCTATCGCTTAATTACTCCTAAAGGAGTCATCACAAGCCCTCTCCCGAGCACTTCAATCTCCGTGTACGTTGTTGGACTGCGGCTTTGCCAAGTACTCTACCTTGAACAATTGCAATTTGTCCTCTGCGTGGCTTCAACAAAATCCCAGGATGCTACCTTGTCAGCTGTCTCTTCATCACACAAGCCATTTGATGTAGCAGAATACTTCCTCCTATGATTCAATATTGGGAGAGTTATTTGGGATCAATATGTTCTTTCCTTATCTCCTGTCAAACCTCAAGAGCAATTTTGTGACACAGGATTCAGCAAAGAAACGATAAATAGCCTTTTACTAACATACTAAACAGAGCTAAACGCACTACTGGTCAGGAACAAATTAACTTCTTTAAAATGTTTTATTACTAAGAGTAAAGCTCCTTCTACCAGTGGTCACAGCATCTTTAACTGAGCTACTTTCCACAACTAACACACAAGATACCAGGGGTGTTTCCAGCTTCACAAAATGAGTACGTACTTGTTCTGTGCTCTGTTCATGTTGCATTCTTGCCAAACCCTGTCCACCACTTGATTGGCGAGTTTTCTAGGTATTTTACCACCATGATGGCTAGTACTGTCAGAGATAAATCCATCCGAGACTGAAGAAAACTTCACCCATTTCTGGGCAGATTGAGCATCAACTGAAAAGCAGCACCAGAGGAAATAGTTTTAGGTGATGAAGTGATTCACTCACAACCACTACTACTGCAATTCAACCACCACAGGAACACCCCAGGAAGAAAAGTATCATCTTAACTCAATATTAGGAAATAAAAGCAGATAGAAAATGTAGGTATAGCAGCCAATCATAACAACATGGTTCCCCCTCATAGGAAAAAAAAAAGTATCTATTTTTGTTACAACTGGGCTGGCTATTCTTTATCTTCCAAGAAATTGCAGATCTGAAAAAGAAAATAATATTGCTCATACGTCATGTAAAGCCACCTGAAACTAGCAGTGGGCCTTACCCACTTTGACTTAAAGCTGTTTACCAGAACCACTACTCACACACCGTTCAGAGGGCACACAGCCTCACTGGACATTTAACTCCCCAAAAAAATAAATCCTCCTTGGACCGTGAAAAAGGCTGAACACACCACCTTGCTCACTAATGACTGAGATGCACAATGAGGTTTCTAAAGCTATGCCAGAATGCACGAATGTACACAAACACACAAAGAGGGGGGGGAAAAAAAGAAAAACCAAAATAGAACCAAACCAAAAAAATTTAAAAAAAGAAAAACCAAAATAGAACCAAACCAAAAAACCCTCCAAAAACTCAACCACAGAAATTCGAAGTACTGGATCACAACATCAGGTACAAAAGCAGTCCTCATTTCAGCAACTTACAAAAATGTCCATGTGAATTTTGCCCACAACTGAGCAATAAAAACTGGTTTTACTACAACAGATTTATAACTACAGACATGTGACTTTTGGTCAGAAGTCAGTTGACCAGATACTACCTAAATCCTTTCCAAACAGGAGAAGCCATCAAAACAATTCCCCACACGCAGAAGCTAATTTTATTATTTATACCTGTTTGAACTTCCTCTGGGGATGTCGGTGGGGTCAGAGTCACTGAAGACATGGCAGGATCTCTCGTGGAAGCAGGCACTTGGTGGACACCCAAGCAAGTGGTTGAACAGTGCGATGCCCCCACAGTGCTGGGGGCAGGGATGTCTGTCTGAGGAACCAGAACGAAGCACGCCGGGTACACCATCCGCACACCAGCTGGGGAAAAAAGTAGATTTTACAGTTGTATATCAAAAACTTATATTAAGCCATCAACAAACGGACCGTTTTGCCAGTAACTCATGAGTTTACCATCCCTTTCTACCTGCTAAGGCAGTATTCTTGGAGAAAAAGTCTCTGTTGTTACCCTTATCATTATTTTATGATTTGCTTTATACAGAAGTATTTGGGTGAATGAATAGAAAAGGCTTTGTACACACAGGCAGAGACAGCCCTGCCACCTACACGCTACTACTTGCTTCAGTCCTTTTATTTTATAGATAATACTAAGAGAATGCTTTTTAGTATCATGTAAAACTGACAACGTTCCCCTCCCCATCATCATCAGGGACTCCAGCCATCACTGCAATCCAACCTTGTAACTCTCATTACAGAGAAATGATTACATTAGTTGGCAAATCAAAGGTCAATAGCCCACAGCAGAGGAACAAACTACCACGTCCCAGGGGCTTAGGTTTTAGGAACAGCAGCAGATAAACGCAGTCCTGAGTACATTAAGTTCTCCAGGATTGTGGTTTTGAAGACATCCCTGAAAGGCACGGCTGTTCCGTTTGAATTTGCACAGAATCTGGAACAGCACAACATGCTTTTGATGCACCTCGGATGTCAATAGCGACAGTCTAGGGTGGTTTTTTTTTTTCTTATTTTTAAAAATAATCTTGCTTCTAAGGGCACAAAGAAAAACACGTACTAATAGGTCTGCAAAACCCACTCTAAGCAGCAGCTCATTTTGAGTAGACCTACGCATTACACAGAGAAGCAAAAGATCGACAGCAGTCACAAATGGCTGCCAAAACCAAATAAAATAGGGTTATTTTGTATCCAGAATTTTGCAGACCTAACTGGCCAGTTTATTTCCGTGATTAAAAAGGTAAGCAGAGCACTCACCAACAAGGACTTCAACAGCTGCTAAAGAATCATCCTCCCAGTCCATTTCTTCTTGTTTTTCCTCAGATCCCTCCTTCAAGTTGGATGTGACAGGATAGAATTGTTTCCATTCACCAATAAGCTTTTTTGTCGATGAATCAGAAAGCTTGAACGACTGCCCTGTGAGCGTGCCATTTAATCCAAAGGGACTTAGAATAACTGAAAAGATAAGTAAAAATATATTGGAGACTATATCTAAACAAAATTCACTTTTCCCCACTGAAAGAGCATTACTGTTATTTCAGCCACACCAAATAAACAACTTACCATCCTAAGCCAGAATGCACCCTCATCACATTTTAAATCCCGTTATCACAAATTAATCTATTTAAACAGACAACAAGCAAGTTTTCCTCTCGAATAGCAAGGAGTCACTAACATACAGGTGGGATAAATAAACACTATGGCAAATTCTGGCAGAATTAGGGTGTTTCCTCCTCCTTTCATTCCGCTCGGTACAGTTACAACAACGGTGTATACACAGGGAAGCGATCCCTTTCGTGTTTAGTCTTGTCCATATTAGGGAAGCACAGCTGCTGTTAAATTGCATTTAAAAAAAAAGCAAGTTTGGACACTGAGCGTTAATAATAAACAAGGGCAGCACGTGGTCATGCAGGAGCACTGATTTCTGAAGCCACCACAAGTGTGTCTAGGACAGGGAAAGATCAAAGAGCCCACTAACCAGACTCAGGCCCCAGCACTCCTTTGTCTTCGAGAGCATAGCCTGCATCTGCTGGTGGAACCAAAGGAATTTACAGGCAAGGAAGAGCCAAATGAAGAAGGGGTAGGGGGGGGTGAATAGGTTAAATACACTGAGTCAGAAACGGATTTCTAAAAGAGGAGCCGGTGAATATATGTGGGGGTTATAAAGCACGTTGAAAATGCAAAATATTTAAGTCACCGACAGGACAGTACTTGGAAATCGAGTTTATTGTGCCATGCAGACAAATTATTTGGGTACACGCCAAGAGAGGAGTATGGAAACCCTCCACCTGTAGAAGAGCTGAGACACACCAGCTGGCTTCTGACTATGGCAAGACAGGGGACGTGTGGGGAGAAAGCGTCATCAATACAAAACAGATCAAGCCTCTGCTCCCACTTCCACCCTTTGCCAGAAGTCCTCGTTCTGAGCAGCTCAAAGGATGGATTTATTTTAACACTCGCTACGGGCTGGCAAAAACCTACCTTGAAAAGGGCTGTTGGACTGCTGGGCCAGAGTGAGGTGTTCCTCGCTGAGCAGGTACACGGGCTGGTGCTGGCTGATTTCCACACTGGTGCAAACATTGCTGTCTCCGTGTAAGAAGAAGGTGAAGGAGCAGGACAAGTGCTCGCTGGGGAAAGAGAAAAACAAAAGCCTAAGTACAGAACTTAAAATAAGTTGATGGCCTTCTCACTAGGTTGAAGGTATTTCCTCCCAAAATATTCATTAATGAAGTACCCAAAAAATCCCTTCTATTTAAATAGCAGGAAAGTGCTAAATACACCTTCCCTTGAGCAAAGTATTCCAGCATCAGAGACAAAACCAAAGATCAATCAAACAGAAAATAACAGACACTAAGTTCTCAATCTCTTTAGACTAACACTTTATATTTTGAAATCTGGATGAAATTTAAAGCACAATTTTTTGCAAGATGAAGAAAACCTTAATACTTTATACCTTATATATTCATTTTAAATATATAAAAATATGTGTTTTGAAATCCGGATGAAATTCAAAACACAATTTTTTGCAAGGTGAAGAAAACCTTAACTTTATACTTTATATATTCATTTTAAATATATAAAAATATTTCTGAACATAAATTAATTTTAATTAGGTCATATATAAGTTCTCCTGTCCCAGATCTACTACGCAGAATTTATATTTTAAGACTTATATTTAACATTAGCCAACAAGTCCCTCATTTAAAAGCAGGAAGAAAGGCAACAGCTTTGAGAAGCACCACATTTGGATTGATTGAATCTTATCTCCACGCTCCTGAAGCCAATCAAGTAACTAAAAATGAAATCACATACCTACACACGGAAGGGAAGATACAATCAATTTAAAAAACCCCAAAGCTTAAGTCATTGTTAATTAAAGTAATTAAAACAAGTATCAATGTTTAATATCAGATGCTTCACTAATAGCTTCTCTCAGTCCAGAGTGTTTTAGAAAAAAACAAAACCAAACCCAGTCCTGTACAGCAAAAAACCATCCCAACAATAAACGTCTCCTTCATATAACTCTGAATTAAATGCTGTTTTCACAGTGCTGTACATAGCTACTAGTTTGTGACTCCACAAAAATCTTCTGCCTCCCAAGATGACTCTTCAGAGATTTCCCAGTTTTTGTAGCTCTGCTGTTGTTTTATCACAAAAATATAGTTGTATACATGCAGGAGTTTATCTATCAAAATATTTTGTCTTGCATCCAAGTCAATTCAGTGGTTTATGTGAAATATATTTTACCAATTTTAATTGAAGAGCAGGAAGACAAAAGCAGAGCCCTGCCAGGACGCCACAGCAGCATTACATCTTCACACCCAGTTCCATCTGAAATACCTTTTTTTTTCCTTTTCTTTTTCAAGAAGTTGTACAGGCACAGCAACTTTCAGTTGTATTAGCTACAAGTTATCTCAAGTGTCTGTGGGACTAATACAATCCCACAGGAAGAGAACAGATCTTTAAAAGCAAGAAGATGCCATTCACATTGGACATTAAATTAGGTCCATCGCCTCAGTAATACAAGAAAGAAAGTCAAGGAGAACTTTAAAAGTACTTTGTAAACTACTGAACAGAAAATGAATCCTTCTCCATACGGAGGGCAGCATCAAGCACCCCTTCAGTTTCAGGAAAAAAAAAAAAAAGAAATTAAACAAGTTGAGAGAAACAAAGTAAATTAAGTCAGTCAAACCAACAACATTATTAAAACGCAGCCTCCACAGGCACAGTTACTGGACACATCTTTAGTGTCATTTCCATGATGTTTCTTCCCTCTACCAGCAGTAGATGGTGGGACAGTAAATACTAAGGAAAAAAAAAAGGTTTCTGGAATTGGTAGAGTCTGTTCTATGAAAACAGAGATAAATGGGTTCACTGACTCTCACCTCTAAGACTCAAAGAGCAGCCACCAGGGTAGTCACCACAACAAAGTGGAAGGTGGCCAGTGTTCAATACAGGGCTGTGCCTACCAGCAGAGCTCAAATGAGGGACCTAAAACACTTCAAGGATGAGAGAACCCACAAACCGTTCAAGGAGGAAGAGGAAATGCCGTACATTTTTTATTACAGTAACTTCAAGCTGGCCATGAAGTGAACTCAATGAGGAACTGCTCTAAGGGACTGCGGGGTAACAGTTTTCAAGTCTGTGGTGGGATGCAGATCTGCTGTTCAACTTTAATTGAGGTTTAGGAACCAAAAATAAAGCCAGGATTCACACATCCAAGTGTATTATCACTATTCATCAACAACTGCAGCACAACTGCCTCAGGAATTCCAGCTGTGGGCAGAAGGCTCCCTGCAGAAATAACCTACTGCTCAGGAATCCCAGTAAGGCCAGTTTCCAAAAGGCAGCGATGATGAAGCCAAGCATCTTGTTGATGATTTCAAGTTCAAGTGAAGTCACACCATCAGCAAACACGACTAAATTCCTATATGGAAATCTGATTAAACTTTAATCCTTATGCAAATAGTTGAAGGCTGATTTCCAAATGGAATTTTATTTTAAAATCGTATTGGATGGTTTAAGATGAAAAAGTGGATAGTTCTTGGTTCTGAGGATGGTTTATGATGAAAAAGTGGATAGTTCTTGGTTCTGAGCAACAGATAACAATTTAGAAGCTTGGTATAAGCCAGGCAAAGTTTAAAAATAAAGGCACATATTCTTTAAATACACTTAAAATGCAATTAAGCTATGTCTCTTGTAAACACCACATTATTACACAGATAAAGGGCAGACAATTGTAGCATAATCTGACGGAATTACAATAAACCAAGACAAAGAGAAGTATCAGCATGATAACAGTAGCATTTCAACTCATTACATGGCAAAACTAGCCCTAAAAAGCAGCAAGGAAAATTCAAGGTCATCATGCAAAAGCCAAATCTCAAAAAAACACAAACAAACAAACCTCCCCCCCAAAAAATCAGAACTTTTTCTCCCTCCACTCAGCAGGGGAGAAGTTTCCAACAAAATGATAAAAGTAAGAGCTGGTGTCACCAACATCACTGCCCCAGCTCTGGCACACAGGCAGGGCAAGGAGAGCAGATCTGCTATGGGACAACACAGTAGAGAAAATCCAAACACTCTAAAATTTTGACAGCAACAGATAACAATTTAGAAGCTTGGTATAAGCCAGGCAAAGTTTAAAAATAAAGGCACATATTCTTTAAATACACTTAAAATGCAATTAAGCTATGTCTCTTGTAAACACCACATTATTACACAGATAAAGGGCAGACAATTGTAGCATAATCTGACGGAATTACAATAAACCAAGACAAAGAGAAGTATCAGCATGATAACAGTAGCATTTCAACTCATTACATGGCAAAACTAGCCCTAAAAAGCAGCAAGGAAAATTCAAGGTCATCATGCAAAAGCCAAATCTCAAAAAAACACAAACAAACAAACCTCCCCCCCAAAAAATCAGAACTTTTTCTCCCTCCACTCAGCAGGGGAGAAGTTTCCAACAAAATGATAAAAGTAAGAGCTGGTGTCACCAACATCACTGCCCCAGCTCTGGCACACAGGCAGGGCAAGGAGAGCAGATCTGCTATGGGACAACACAGTAGAGAAAATCCAAACACTCTAAAATTTTCACTAATTCTGGTTAGAAATTGGAGTGTTAAACAGCAGAGCGATGCACACCACCTCGGGGTTTTGTTTCAGCACTTCCAGAGGTGCAGCAGAGTCATTTTATTGACATAGGATAATATTGTTTCATAGTAGAAATACGTAGTAAAACCAGTGCTGTCCTTAAACTCCAGCAAAGGGAAAGAGGTTTCCCCACGGTACACACAGCATCTCCTGAAAACAGGAGTCTTCTTTACACTTAATGTTATCATGAAAGGCAAAACTAACTCTGTATGGACTCAAATATAGCAGTAGATTTCTTCCCAGCTAGTCATACTCTGAAAATGTTTCTTCACATGTAATTTCTGTTAGGTTACAAGGCTTTAGGAAGTTTCATTGCATGTGAAATAATCACAAGAAATGCAATGAAGAATCCTAATTTAAAAAAAGAAAAAAGAAAAAAAAAAAATCAAACCCATACCAAAGCTCTTTGCAGGGGAGTGGACAAAAGGAGGAAGGAAAACAGAGAACCAGAGCTCTAAGTTACTGGACGCCCCCACATACACCATTTTATAAACTTAGCAAGAACCTCTCTAAACATGCATGCTTTTTATTATTATTTTTTAAATTAATCTATCTGTACATTCTCCAATTCCTTACGTTTCCAGAGACTGACTGCTAGTACACAACGCTGGCTCAAACTTCAGTTTAGAAGGAATTTTCTCAAACCTTACCATAACTTATTTACAAAAAAATTAAAAAAATTAAGATCTATCTCTCTCTATATATAGAGCTCTATCTCCACTGTTTCTGTAAGACTTTCTCTCCTATTATCAATAATTCACCTCACAGCCAAAAATCCTAATCAAGCGAAAAATGTACCACTTTGGGGTGAATAAGCAGATTACCTTTACAATTCAGTCAAGGACACAATAACAGAAAGCAAGGTGGTGGTTTCCTGCCTGCTAATGCAGAGCTCATCTATGCTTTTATTTGCAGCCATTTTTTTTTTTATCTAGTGATCTTTTCAGCTACTTAATTTGTGCAGAGCATCTCATGACTGAAATATAAAAAAAAATAAATACCTGTACCTCAACGCTCAGAACAGTTGTCCTGTGTGAAGAGAGAATCAGAGAAGTCCTTGAGGTGCAGATACAGCAAAAACATAATAGCTCCTCTTATAGCCAGGACTGATATCCCCTCTTTTGGTTTTAGTTGGGGTTTTTTTGGTACTTTTACAATTATGGTCAGGTTTTGTTGCATGTGCATACGTAAGACATAAGAGCAGAGGACAGAATTTTAATGGAAAACTCTGAAAAAAAAATCCTAGTTCTACCAAAGATCTCATTTTCTTGCCTGACCCTGAACATGAAGTTACTCCATTAATATTTCTAATTAACTTAATTTCAAAATCCTAGTTCTACCAAAAATCTCATTTTCTTGCCTGACCCTGAACATGAAGTTACTCCATTAATATTTCTAATTAACTTAATTTCATTAAAGTCCTAAACACAGAACTTAAAAATCAATAATCCCATTTCCAACTGGGAACTCA